CTTTCTCATTTCATCTCTACTACTGTTATACTTTGTGTATTTCTATTGTCGATTTTTGGTTGAGTCCCTTCACTCGTTTTTGCAATGTGCTGRTGTCTCCCCTCTCGCTTTCAGATAATTTGGGCCTTGCTGCCTCCCTGCTCAAATTCTGTGCATGAAAAAGAGAAAAGCAAGGCTGAAAAACCTCCAGCACCAAGGACACCCTCCTTCACCAAAGTCTCTGGGGACCCAGAGTGTGGTAAGCACTCCTCATCCCTCACGCTCCTCTCAGCACTCTGTTTACTGAGCAGATTGCCGGCTTATGTCTCCCTTGATCCAGAGCACAAAATGGTCATATGATGATTTGCACACCTGTGGGAAGCTTACCATCTGGAATTTGAGGACAGTGTCTCTATTTTAAGGGGAAATATATTCTGATGTTGACAGCTGCCTTGCAATCCATCCTTCTTCTAATCAGTATGGCAGAGACTGAGAAAATGTGCAGTAGCATCGACTTAGGATGCACCGTGGGAAGTGGTGTGTGTGTGTGTCTGTGTGTGTGTGTGTGTGTGTGTGTGTGCGTGTGTGTGTGGGTGTGTCTTGTGGGGAGTGAGCATTCCTCAGAATGAGGTGGCTTGAATTTTCATATTCCATAATCTAACTCATCTAAAGATGTCCAAATGTGAACTATATGACAGAGATAAGGAGGGATGTATTTAGTTTGAAGGATGCCTTTGAAACAAGATCAAATGCAAGGCACAGCATGTGAAAGAGGAGCCCTGCGTCCTGACGTTTCAGCACCACTGAGACCACCTCTTCCTGAACCCCCTGGCATGCTCTCTCATCACTCTCCCCTGGCTCATCCCCCTCACCACACTGGCTTCCTKTTCAGACTTGAGCACCTGGCACAAGCACCTTTCTCGGGGTCTTTGCACTGTCTGATCCTCCTGTGGGAGACACACTTCCTCAGTTGACCTGTGGATCCTGCCCTGTCTGAGGTCCARGTTCAAATGTTACCCGATTACTGCTCTTGCCTGGATCCCCATAAAATTAGCACCCACCATCCTCCCCTTCCTTCTGTGGATGGTGTTTTTTTTAGCACACTTATCTCCATCTGAAATGTTATGTGACTCTTTCTTTATGTGCTTGTATTTGTCCCCCACCAGCAGACTGTAGAAATTCTTGGTTTTCAGCACCTCTACCTATTCCCTAAATGGACCCAGGAAGGTGGCGGRCTCTAATTACATGCTTCTCAAATGCCAATGGACTGTCTCCACAGACTGTAGGAGAGTGACTTCCTGGCTGAGGATGGACAGGAGTAAATGCATAAGATGGGGGAATCTTCCAAAGGGGACCAGGTCCTACATGAAATATACAAATCAAAGTCATGATTGTAAAATGCAAATCATGGCATTTCTACAGTTCTAATTATCTATATATCTGTGAAAATTAGATATGTCAYTATTCTCTTTAATGGTAGTCACATCCTTCAAACTCAGTATATTCCTCCTTATTTCCAGCATTCATCATTTTTCTCTTTCCACTAGATGGAACGCAGAAATAATACACAAATGTCAGAATTTCTACTGCTGGGATTTTCAGAGGACTTGGAACTTCAA